TGTGCCCCTGCGCCGTCGGTCAAAAGAGTCCCAGAGCCTGGAAGCGCTGGCGCAGGTTGTGCCGGACGCAGTCCCTCAAGTCCTGCGACAAGGCCTTTGGGCGCAGAGGCGGCGGCGCACCGCCCACGCCATCGAAGACGGCTGCCCAGTGCTGTCCGTGGGTGGTCATGGCTGCATTAGCAGACGTGAGGGCCTTCAAAGGGTGCTGCGTCTTGGCGGCGAAGCCCCAGAGAGAGAACGTGCCTGCGGGCATCTCGTGATGCTCGGGTGGTGTTCGGAGTAGTTCGCGCTGCGCCTAGCTTGGCGGAAAACGCTATGATTACGGAGCAGTGTAAAAAAAAGGGAGGAGCTTGAGGAGGGAGACGAGGAACGAGAAGGCGAAACGAAAGAGCAACAACGACATGGATGAAGGGAGGCTGAGGAGCAGGAGCTGGAGGAGGAGTAGTGGAGGGATCGTGGAGTAGTAAGAGGGAAAGGAGGAGGGAAGGAGGGAGGTTGATCAGGAGCGCTGGGTCACCAAACGGGCATTGCATCCGAACCTATGGGCGTTACACCCGACTTATGCTCGTTTACGCGTGCCGTGTTGGGCATTGCATCCAAAAACGCTTGGCCATTGCACCCGCGAGGTTGGGCATTGCATCCGCAAGACTTGAGCATTGCACCCGCAAGACTTGGGCATTGCGCCCGAAATACGTGTGCATTGCACCTGAAAAGGCATAGGCATTGCACCTGCAATATTGGGCATTGCACCCGAAATATTGGGCATTGCACCCGAAATGGTTGGGCATTGCACCCGAAAAGCTTGGGCATTGCACGTCAAACGGTTAGGCATTGCCCCAAAGAGTTTGGCATTGCACCCGAAGACTTAGCACCATACCCCAAAGAGTTGGGCATTGCGCGATGGAGCTGATGGCGCGCGCCCTGGGCCTGCGGAGGCTGGAGGACGGCAGCGAGGAACAGGAGAGACACTCTCTCCCCTCCCTCCTCCTCCTCCTCCTCCTCCTCCTCCTCCTGCGCCTCCCTCCTCATCCTCCTCATCTTCCTCGTTCTCCTTCCCTCTCCCTCCTCCATCCTTCCTTCTCCCTCTCCTCCTTTTCCTTCTCCCGTTCTTCCTCCCTTTCCTCTTCCTCTTGCTCCTACTCCTTCTCAATTCTTGTCCCTCGTCCCTCCTCTCCTCCCCTCCTCTTTCCTGCGTTCCATGGTCAAAGAAACCTTGCTATTTCTATATTTTCTAATGACATTTTATGGTAACTATAGAACTAGCAAGGTTTTCTCACAGGTCGTTGATACATCATTTTTTTGTATTTCTATATATGCCTATACATTCTCAACAACAAGTGTTTTTTTTTTTTTTTTTTTTTTTTTTTTTTTTTGTTTTTTGTTTTTTTTTCGGGGGGGGGGGGGGGGGGGGGAGGGGGTGTTTTTGTTGTTGTTTTTTCTTATATATATGTATGTATGTATATATATATATATATATATATATATATATATAAATAAATAAATAAAAAAAAACAGTACATTCATAGGTTTTTCCAAACTATCAGGCGCCCCCCGCTGGCACCAGCCCTTCTGCCCCTCCGATAGTTAGGAAAACTTGTGAATTCATGGAACATATAGAAGTCGTAGTTTTTTTTGAACATTTAAGGAAACTTATGGGACATATAGAAATAGCAAGGTTTTCTTACATGTCGTTTAGAAGACATTGTTACTTCTATAGTTTCACTATTTTCCATTTATTTTCCATAAAAGAGTGTTACTACCTCCATACTTTCCATACGTTCATAGGTTTTCCAAATAATCAGGCGCCTCCCACTGGCACCAGCCCTTCCGTCCCTGCGATAGTTTGGAAACCATATGAATGTATGGAACATATAGAATTCGCAACACTTTTTATGGAACGTTCATGGACAATTGTGGAAACAATAGAAACAGGAAGGTTTTACCACACGTCGTTTAGAACATATTGGTATTCCTATAGTTTCCATAATTTGTATGCTTTTTTTCCATGCGGAGTGTTGCTACTTCTATATTTCCATAAACTCGTAGGCTTTCCAAATTACCAGGCGTCTCCCGCTGGCACCAGCCCTTCCGCCCCTGCGATAGTTTGGAACACATATAAATTTATGAAACATGTAGAATTGGCAGAAATTGTTTTGAACATTTATGGGAACTTATGGAACCGATAGAAATAGCAAGGTTTTCTCACATGTCGTTGACCAAACAGTTGTATTTCGATATTTCCTGTAACTTCCCATACACATTCCATCGCAAGTGCTGCTATTCTTCTATATTTTCCATGAATTCATAGGTTTTTTCAAACTATCAGGCGCCTCCCACTGGCACCGCCCCTACCGCCCCTCCCATAGTTGGGAAAACATAGGACTTGATGGAACATATAGAAATAGCAGCACTTTTCATGGACAGTTTATGGAACATTAGGGAACATATGAAATAACAAGGTGTTCTCACGTGTGTGTTCAAGAGGTCTTCCACACGAGCACACTTGGAAGACCAAACTTGGTTGTTTAACGCTCTCTGAGGTGAGGCTTGAAACAGTGAAACCGCCCAGGCCTTCATAAGGCCTGGCGCCCCTCCTCCTCCTCCTCCTCCTCCTCCTCCTCCTCCTCCTCATCCTCCTTCGTGTTCACGTCTGCTGCGGAATCGTTTCTCCTTGGTGTTGAGCCATTTGGGGTTGCTCGCGCCAGGGGTGGATGACGACGAGGCCGGACTGAACCAGCAGGGGACGAATTCCATTGCGTTTGGAAGCAAGTTCGGGCCGATGCCAGAGTGCCCGCTGCTGTTGGAAAACGTCCGTTCCCTCATCCCGCGGTGCGGAGTTGATTTTGGATTGACGAGCGCGGGCAGCCAGATGTTCCGCAACATGCGCCAGCTCTTCAGACTGATCATCTGGAAGTGCCAATTCCATGTGCTCTTGAACAATATGGTGTTCAGTGCAACTTGGGCGCACGAGCGCTCCGCAGAGCGCGGCGCGAAGCGCGGGGCAGCAGGTGGAGGTGGGGGGCCTGGGTCATCGTCTGCAGCCAGGGGGCCGCCGCTTGCGAGCAAGCGTGGCCGCGGCAGCGGCAGTGGCCGCGCAGGCGGATCCCTCGACCGGAGACTTGCCTCGGTTACATGATCGCTCAATCTTGCTTGTCCTGTGGATACCTCGTAAAACCAACAAGATCAGCATCATTGCCGCCGTGCTCGTCGTCGTCGGCATCGTCGTCGTTGGGGGCCAAACCCTCGTGGGTGCTCTTGCTTGAAGGCATAACCCTGCAAGGCGCTCCTGGTTGAGGCCCAACCCTCAATGGTGCTCTCGGTTGAAGGCCTTGGCCTCGCGGGCGTTCCTGGTTGAAGGCCTTCCCCTCGGTTGACGCCCTCGCTCGTCAGGGCGTTCTCGGTTAACAACTTAATTTAGTCGCTTCGCTCATTCCGCCGGCCCGAAATGGCGGCCTCTTGGGCCGTCTTGGGGCCGTGCCTGGGTCGCGGGTCAGGTTCTTCATGGGCGGGTCTCGGTCTCCTCGTGGGGCTTTGCGGGGCCCTTTGGAAGCAGTTTTGGGGCCTCCTGGGGGCCTCGTCGGGGCCTGTTGGGGTTCTCTCGGGGCCTTCTGGGGGCGTCCTGGAGTTTGCGGGGGGGCCCTTGGGGGCCTCTTGGCACCCCCTGTGCGCCTCCCGGGGCCGAGGGCTCAAAATGTTGGTTCGGGCCCCCTCTGGGCCCCGTCGCCCTCGGGGGCGCCGTTGGCTCAAAACTCGAGCCCGCCAGGGGCGGAAAAGGTGAAGAAGCGTGGTTGGACAAAATCAGGGATTTGCGATTCGCGAGGAATGGGGCGCGCAGTGTAGATTTCTCCCGGGGTCCAGCGCGCCCGCGCCGTGGGCGAAGATATTCGCAAATGGCTGATTTTGCCCGCCGCGTTCTTCGCCTTTCCCCGTCGGTGCTGCTGCCGTCGCCGCCGCGGCTCTAGCAACAGGCTGCTTCTGCTTGCGAGCTGCTTCTGCTCGCGACCGTCGCCTGTGCCGAGCCGCGGGCCCCGTGGCATCCACGCGCCAGTGTGCGGTCGCCGTGCTGAGGGTTGCCGGCAGTTTCGGCAGGGCTCCGCTGAGGTGGGCGCCGCCGACGAAAAGCAGATGAAGCCGTTCATTTCGCTGAAAACAGTTTGGGAGATGAGGGGGGGGGGGTGAGCGTTGGCTTATCCCTCGCGTGTCTGCGGGATGCTAAGGGCGATCTCGAGGCCGGCGGTTCGCGGGCGCTGCGAGCGTTGGCGGTGCCCGAGGCCAACTTCCCCCGGGGGCTCGCGGAGAACCTGATGAAGGCAGAGCTGTCCGAGGAGGACCTTGCGGGGCATCGGCTGGCTTTCATGGGCGCTGCCGCTCTGCCCAGCTCGATCTGGGGAATTTCTACAGCCTTGATTTCTTCTCGGTGAAGGGCGAATCCGTATTGGGGAAGAAGGTGCGGGAGTTGTCGTTTCGGAACTCCTCCAACGAGCGCTTGGAGCTCGGAGCCCGCCCAGCGCCTGGCGCGGCCGCCGCCCGCCCCGCAGGGCGCGACAGTGCTCCGTCCAGCGCGGTCGACGCAGGGTCCAGCGCGGCGCCCGCCGCTGGCGATTCAGGAGCCGGGCCGGGGGCCTCCGAAGGGGGTCGCCGCGGCCGCCGTTGGCGGCGGGGGCTCGCCAGAGCCCGCGGCGGGGCCGTGCCGCGAGGTGAGGCGGAACTCGTCGGATGCTTTCGTGGCAGACGCCGAGAATAAGGAGGGGCGGCGAACCCTGAATATCGCTCGGACAAGTGGGCGTTTGCACCCCCGCCCCCGCCGAACCAGCAAAATAAGTCATGTGGCTTTGGGGGCCCCCGTCTGAGTGAGATTCTGGGGGCCGCCGCAGGGGGCCCAGCGCGCCCGATTGCAGAAGGGCGTGATCCTGGCGCTGAAGGACAAGATCAAGATTGCCGCGGAGGCGGGCCGGTGGGCGTCGCACAGAAAGTAATGCGTGGATTCGGTGGACTTCCTGATGGGCAAGCTGGTGGAGACGATGAAGGAGATCAGGAAGGATCAGCCGGGTGCGGCGGCAGATGGGCTTGCTGCCGCCATGGCGCGAATGTGCGCGTTTGCCGCGAACCTCTTCCTGAGCCGCCGCAGCTGCGAGAGCTTCCCGTCCTTCTGCAAGACGTTCGACGCGTTCGAAGAGCTCGGGGCCGAGGTTGCGGGCCTCTCGCTGCTCGTGCGGGAGTTGGCGAAGATTGGGCTCGAGTCGGACGCGCTCCCCGTGCTTGCGGGGGCGGGCGCTGCTGACCGCGTGATTTTACAGGCCCCCCTGCTACAAGAGTTTTCTCGCCTTCGGGTTCCGGCGGGGTCTCGACCGGGCGAAGGCGGCCGCGGGCCGGGGGCAGATCCGGGCCTCGAAGGAGATCGCGGGGGCCGCCGCCGACGACGCGGCGCCAGATGTCTACGAGCAAGTGTCGACAGCGCTGCAGGCCCTTGGGCCCGAAGCTCCCCATGGCGGCGCGTGTCCAATGGACCCTCGCCTACGACTTCGCATTGGCGGTCGCCCACGAGTGGGCCCCCGACAGCGATTTGTCTCGTTTCGTCACCCTGGCGGGGCCGGCCCCGCCCCTCGAGGACATGACGTACCCAGTGTTCGAGATTGGTGTGGCCTCCTGATGAAGGCTGGGATCGAGCCGCAGAGCCCGCTGGTCGAGGGGGCGCGCGGTTTCCTCGCGGCGTTGCGGGGGGTCCCTGCATGGGGCCAGCCGAAGACGTTGGCGTGGTTCGAGGTCTTGGGGCGGCTCGCCTTCTCCGAGCGCTTGGGCCTCGCCGAGGAAGATGAAGAGGCGGGCGCGGATGACGGGGCGGACCTCGCCCCAACGGTCGCCGCCCTTCCGCGGGGAGATCTCAGCGCAGTCGTCGTCGCTGCCAAAGGCTTTCGTCGAGCCGAAGGGCAAGAAGGGCAAGATGCCAGAGTGGCTGAGGGGCATGGCCGCCGCCGCCGAGGCCGCCGAGGGGCCGGCCGTCGCGGCGGGTGCCGCCGCTGAGGGCCCAGTCGCGAGCGGCCCCGCGGGCGGCCCGCAGCCGGCCCCCGCGGGCGGGCCGCCGCTGGCCCCAAGCGGCGACGAGCCCGCGGCGGGAGACGCGGCGGCGAGCCTCGCCGCGACCGGCGAGGGCGCTCCCGCGGGCGCCATCGCAGAGGGCGCGGTCGCGGGCGGCGGCGCGGGCGGCCCGTGGGCGGGCGCCTGGGGGGGGATCGAGGAGTCGGAGGAGGGGCAGCGGGGCATCCTCGCGGACATGTACTATCCAAAGGTGAAGAGCCTCTTTGTGGAGGTGTGGTGCCAGACGGTGGCGGCGAGCGGGGGGTTGGCGGGCTTGAAAGCGACGCTGGAGATGGTGCTGGGGAAGACCGTGCCGAGGACGAGCTCGCCGCGGCCCTGGCTGGTCTCCTGGGCCACGGGTTGGGCGGCAAGACTCAGGCGGGCTGGGTGGGCGAGCAGGAGTGCCGCGAGGTGTTCGCCGAGTGGGTGTCGGTGTCGACGGGGCTGGCCAAGGGGGCGAGCCTGGGGGCCGGCGCGGCCCCCGCGGCGTCGGAGGGCCAGGCGTCGCGGGCATGTTCAAGAATGGGGGCGTCGTGGTGGGGGTCGCCGCGAAGTGCGAGGAGGACTGGAATGGCCGCCGCTGCGAGATCATCGAGGTCCTGTCTCTCGCCCGCAAGTTTCGGCGGCGCGCCGACGGGGGCGGCGGGGGGGGGGGGGGGGCATCTTAGAATTCAGGGTGCTCCTTAGAACCCCCCGGAGGTTTCAATGGGGTCTTCGGAGGGCCTCGGAGGGCTTCTAAGAAGCACCTCGCAATCTCAGAAGCCCCCATCCATCCCCCTGCCCCCGTCGGCGCGCCGCCGAACGGTGCGCGTGCTGAAGGGGCCGCAGGAGGGCGCCCAGCGTGGGCACCTCCATGCGAGCGCGAAGGCCGCCCGGCACAACGGCAGACCCTCGCGGGCGCGGGGCCCGCCCAGCAGCAGCAGCAGCAGCAGCAGCAGCAGAGCGTGGGGCCCGACGGCGCGGGCAACGCGACCAAGCAGAAGCCCGTCCAGCTGAAGGGCCTCGAGCCCCTCTTCGAGTGGGCCGGAGCGGTCGGCGCCAAGGCGCCGGTGGCAGTGCGGCGAACGGGCCCAGAGGGAGGGGCCGTATATGTTGTTGTCCGTTTTCGGAACCAGGGGCGCCGAAAACCCGATCCGGGATGGAGAGCGGGTCGCGTGTGGTGGCGGGGTCTGGGGGGTCCAGGGCCCGTCCCCCTCGGGGCCCCTTTCCCGCGTGATGACGTCGGGGCAGGAGTCCGCGGGGGGCGCGCGAGGCAGGGCAATTTTGGAATCGCGCCTTTGGCGGGGCAGCCCGATGGCCCAGTGCTCCATGGATTGCTCCTCGAATCGCGTCGCGAATGCGCGGGGCTCAGAAGACGTCGCCGTCGCCGCCGTGCCCGTGCCCCTCTCCCGCCCCGCCGCCGGCGACCCGTCGCCCTTCCCCTGCCCCTCCACGGGCCCCCCCCGCCCCCAGCTCGGGGGCGCCGGTGGTTCAGAATTCGAGCCCGCCAGGGGCGCAACATGTGGCGAAGCGTAGTTGGACAAAATCAGGGAGTTGCGATTCGCGAGGGATTGGGCGCGCGGTGTAGATATATCCCGGGGCCCTGCGCGCTCGCGCCACAGACGGCGATATTCGCAAATCGTTGAGTATGTCCAACCGCGTTTTTCGCCTTCCCCGCCGGCGCTGCTGCCGTCGCCGCCGCGGCTCAAGCAACGGGCTGCCTCTGCTTGCGAGCTGCTTCTGCTCGCGACCGTCGCCTTTGCCGAGCCGCGGGCCCCGTGGCAATCGCCCGCCGGCGCGCGTTCGCCGCTGGATGCCTGTGCCGAGCCGCGGGCCCCATGGCAACCGCCGCGACCCTCCTCTCATCCCCGAGTCTGTGCAGAGGATGTTCGGTCTCCCTCCGCGTCATGTTTTCTCTTACTAGCGGGGCTCCGCCGAGCTAGTTTCCCCCTTGTGTGTTCCATCGGGGGCGTCTTCGGCCATCCCGGGAGGGCGCTCTCGCCTCGGCGCCCGCGGCGTTCCTGTTCTCTCTACCATTATTCAAAGTCAGTGTCGTCCCCCCCTCACCCCCGACCGAGTCTGTGCAGGGAAGCGCTCGTGCTACGTGGGGGCTGCTTCCAGCCTGCTTCTGGAATTCGCTCGGATTGTCATGGGGCCGCCGCTGATGGCCGCTAATAGCCGCTAATGGGCGCAAAAGACCCCCCTGGTTGCCGAATAACGGGCCGAGGGGGTGCGCGTGGAATGCCGCGCAAGTTCGCGGCGGACGGCGATCGCGCTTGCCGGCCTGGACTGCCGCTGCATTTTCTGATCGCTAGGTGGGTGCATGGCGCTTGCTTCGGCCGGCGCCGACGCGGGGTCTCTAACGCGCAGAGTGCGGCTGCCAGGCGCCGCGGCTCCTTCGTCGCCGCCGTCGCCGCCACTTCGTTGCGCCCTCCGTGGGCCGCGACGCCGGGCGCAGCTTCGCAGGGGATCGAGTGGGGGAACAATTCATAGCCACCTTAGTGCGGTGTAATCCGCTGGCAGAACGCGGGGGCGAGAGGAGAGAATCTGTCGTCCATGGATATGCGTATGTTTGCTGGGGAATTATCCGAGTTGCTACATTCTCCTCGCCACTCCCGCCCCTGAGCGCGCGAAGGGGCGCGTGGGGTCATGTCGGAAAACTGCATCCAAATTCATGTTCGGATAATGTGTAGCGTGATATTTGAACAGGTTCTTTGAGGTGGAAGCTTACTGCGGGGGCCACCCCGTCCCGTGCGCCGAAGTCGTCGGGCCGCGGGCGAGATGCGCGCGTCGGAGGGGTGATGCCAGAGCATGTATTCTTCGCTCTACGCACTGCGCGCATGGTCAGCATGGTGTCCGTGGCCAGTGGCTCGCAACAGCCCAGCTCTGAAACGGGCTCTGGCCAACGTTGCAGTCGGGCGACCCATCCTCCGCGCGCCATGGAGAACGGCTTCCCTGGTTCGAGACGAGGGGGGCCTGCGTTGGATTGGGGTGCCTTGCGCGGCTTCACGATGTGGATTGGTGCGATTCCAGGCGATTCTGCGCGTGCGTCTTTGATGGCAGTGTATTTATGTCGCTCGCTGTTTCCGCGTCGGCTTGTGGTTTATGCGCGTGGTTGATTTTACCTCAACTATCGCGAATGACGAAGCTCGATGCGTTGATTTTGTTGCGTCTGTTGGATCCTTTGGGCTGCGCGGCGGCCGTCGATCGCGCCGCGGCGTTCGCGGCGAGGAAGTGCCTCGCGGCGTAACAGAACTGGCGTTGCGAAGCAACCCGTGAGCGATGGATGCGCGCAAATGCTTGGGCGCTGCGTAGATCGGTGGGCGAGGCTGTCTTCCGCTCTCGCCGCTGCGTCCTTCGTGGGCCATGGTGTCCTTCGTGGACTGCGATGTGTTGGCAAACACATTCGTTTCTATGGGATTCGGCGGGTCAGAATTTAGCGTCGTCGGCGTTCAGCCGGTGCTTGTTTTTTTCCCCCGAACTACCATTTGTACATTCGCGTGCGTATCTGGTTAGTTTCTGCGCGTGGAGTAGTCAAACTCGCTAGGTCGCACCGCAGAGTTGAATCGCCTTAGCGTTCGGATCGCGGAACTGTCGTGTAGTGCAGGGGTGCGCCGTACAAGCCTATAGCCTTCTAGCCTTGTAGCCCTATAACCCTCTTGCTCTATGGCACAACAGCCCTATGGCACTATAGCCGTATAGCCCTAAGAGCCCTATAGCCCTAAAGCTTATAGC